GTTTGGTCAATTCTCCCCTCACAATTGCCTTGGATGTGGCACTCCCAATAAGACCTAGAGCAAACTGGCATTTTTAATTGTTTTCCACATAAAAGTGGAATAGAGTATTATAATGCCATTTTTTATTTAAACAACAAACTCACATCTATTTTTTACTTGTAAATTAAATATTATTCAGATATTAGTTAAAAGTGGGTATTCAAGCTTACAAGATATTTTGATGGAAGTATTAATAAGTACAAAGCTCGACTAGTTGCCAAAATTTATGTACAAAGTAATGGAGTAGACTTCGAAGAAGTTTTTGCTCAAATAGCTCAGATTGAAACAATACGACACCTCACTAACTCAGCTGAAAGACCTCATCACGGATAATCTAAGTACAGTGAGATTCTTTCCGAACAAACATAATCTTTTCCAAACTTAAACAAGTTCTAGGGCCCATTCGTTAGACAATTCTTTTTACAATAATTCTGAGATTTATTACTTAGAGTCAATATGCATTCATTAGAGTAAAACAACCATTCAAATACTTTATTAATAAGTAAAGATACAATACAACTTATAAATTTTTATATAAGCTATTACAAGTTGTATAATCGATCTAACTACCGAGCATCCATCACCACCCATCTTCATCGCCATGAGTGCTCGCGCCTAAGCCCTTTCCTCCCCTCGATCCCCTTCATTTCCTGAAAGCCACATAGGCATCAGTAACCTATTCACTTAGTTTCCATCATCAATCATGCAATGCTCACTTAGTTACAATAATCACTTTTCCTGATCTGACCGTTCGGTAGAGAGGTAGTCCGCGCATCAGTTTGGTCGAGTATCATCGAAGAATCTATTCCCCGAGCCGTGTCTCCTTTTCTCCGAACAATCTTTGTGGACCAAGTTATGCATATGATCATGTCCACCATGCAAATATCCAAACCCTTATGCACCCTATCTACCAATCTTTTAGTCTTGGTATTAACCTTTATATCGGATTCTGACTTTTCTGATTATTTCTCTCGAAGATTCATTTCAAGAGTTAATATGTGTTTTTGATCCCCGAATGTGTCTGACACTTAACGCGAGACCCACTATCTATAGTGTTTTGGCCAAGACCTTCAGTTCGAAAAGTCACCATGTCGATGCATCGTTTGCTCTTACTGATTTGTTGGGATACGTTCACTTGTACTGATTTGATGGCATACATTCGTTTGTACCGTTTCACTGGCATACATTTGTTGTATGGTTTCATCAGCACACGATCGCTCTTCCTCCGTTAACCGCCTAGCTAGCTCCTTTGTCGAGTAATTATCGCAACTACCTCGACTACCGAACAGCTGGTCGAGCTTTCCAACAGCTGGTCAAGCTGAGATCACCACCCGGAATAAAACAGCGCCTTGTATATATTAAGCTGAAGGAGATAAGAGAGTTTCCCTTAATTGTGGTTGTTTATGTCGATGATTGTTTCCTATAGGAACAAGTTAAAATATCAAAGATGCTATGCTCTTAAAATGAGAGAAGGCTTTTAAGTTTTATTAGTTATCATGGGAATTTAACATATTGAAAAGACCCAGCCCGTTTTGTTTTTGGGCAAAAGCAGAAAAACCGCCATCTAATTTTTATTTGGACGTTTAATAACTCGTCACTGGTGTCAATCGACACTCGCGACCATTCTCGCGATACAGAAGATTGGTGTCGATCGACACCGATGCCCTAATATCAATCTAGTAGCTTTTTCATCAACGGATCTGCTCCTCCAATCAATCCATGGCCGAATAGATAGTCCACAAGACTCGTCCAGAGGCACCACAACACAAGAAACACGCATACAAAAAAAAGAAAATCAATCAACAACCATAGAAATCAGCAAAACATAAATCAAACAGCTTAGATAAGCCTAGGTCTTGCACTCACCTCCTAAACAAGAAAGAACAGCAACGAACATGGGCTAACATGGGTGAAAACAAACTCCTCAGACACCAAACACCACAGATCTAACTTCCTTTAGCCTAGAACCACCAAGAAACAGCCTCAAACCTCTCTCTAACCTCACAAAACCTCACTGGAGAACTTAGAAACCTTTAGAGCTTTTGAGAAAGACAAAAAGCGGCTGCTGAACAACCCAAGTCGACTTTTCTCCTTTAAAAAGTCGAGCCCTAGGTTAAACCAATCCCAAACCACTCGATTTTACAATTAAATTCAAACCGGGTAACCAAGGAAGGGTGTCGATCAAACTACCCATTTCCGAACACTGGTGTTACTCATATTATCTTGGAATTGATGTAGATCAATACAACTAAAGGATATTAATGGACTCCATACATGAATGGACTTGTCTTATTGCTTTGATTCTTTGAATCGTTACATGGATAGTCTTAGAGAATCACATGGAACTGCGATGAAACAATGCTTGAGATACTTGCGAGTAATAACAACTCTTGGATTAACATTTAAGCATCCAACTTCAAAGATACAAAGGTTGATAGGTTTAAGTGACAATTCTCACAATGTTGATCCTGATGATGGTAGAAGCACGGTTGGTCATGTGTTTCTATCTTGGGGAGAGTCTGATTTCTTGGTGTTTGCATAAAAACAATCGTGGCAATGTCATAGTGTGAGGCTGAAATTATGGTTGGTACCGAAGAAGCAAGACAAGTAATTTTCTAAAATTTGTTAGTGAGATTATCCAATCACCTTGAAAGAAAAGAAAGAAAAAAACAAGAAATACACATGGGCTTATAGTGAAGGTTCGATATATGTCCACTTCCTCCTACTACAAATTTCAGCAAGATAAAAAAATATCAAGACTTGAGTTCTCTTATAATAAAATCATTTGTCGGGACTTGAGTTCGAATGGTGACAACGTATTTGACTGTCCGTAAAATGAAGTATATATTAGGAATGACAGATCTAGTTCCTCCTCAAAATCACGAATAAAAGAAAAAAAAAATACACATGGGACTTAAAGTGAAGGTGGGATATATGTCCACTTCCTGCTACTACAAATTTGAGCAAGATGAATTAGTCTCCTTAATTACTCTCTTTAAATACTACATTGTTGGGTTAAAAGCATTTGATTCAATTGATGAAATATCAAACTTGTTTTTTTTTTAAATTATGTTATAAATTTGTAATTCCATTTCATGTTAAGTAAAAAAAAATTTAGATATGCTACACAAATTGTATATCACTTTCTATATATGTTTTTCTAAAAACATAAATAATTTGATCTATAATTATTATGATTTTGGAAGATGGATGATAATTAATATTTTTCAAATTTTTTACACACACAAGATAAAGTGAGACTCTTCAAATATCTTCGTCTTAAGTATAAATTAAATTGGGTTTACTAATCTTTCATTTATCTTTAATTAAAATATTCATAATCAATAAAAATCTGTATAATATAATTATATGGAACTTTTATTCCACTTTAATTTTTTTCCCTTTTAATATTTAATTTATTCTAAAACTCAATAACACATTTAAAATTTAATTGTAGGATTATTTTATGTTATGAATTTGAATTATGTTATTGATACTAATATAATTTTTTTAGGAGAATTTTGGAGACATACTCGTTTTGGTGTACCCCTTTTTAAAAATACCCCCTTTATCTATCCATTTTCAAAAATACCCTTTTTTAAATATAAAAAATTATAAAGTTTTATATAGTATGTAAGGTACTTCTATATGATAACTACTACTGGGAGATTCAATACAAATATTTAAAAAAATTTTAAATTGTTTTAAATCATTTTTATAAGTTTTATAAGGTTTTTAAAAGGTTTTATAAGGTTTTTAAAAGGTTTTATAAGGTTTTATAAGGTTTTAAATTTTTTTTAATAGGTTATTTTTACGTTATTTATGAAAGATATATAAAGTTTTATACACATACAAAGGTAATTTGTGTATATATTGATAAACTTACATACATATTTGGATAAATTTCAACATTTTTAGTGATTTTTTAATAAAGTTTGAAAATGGGGTATTTTTTAAAAGACGTATATGAAAAGGGGTATTTTTGAAATTCCCCTTTTTGTAGTCTTGGTTTTACCGTTAAAATTTAATTTATTTTAAATAATTCTTTTTAGTTTAGTTAAAATTTTATCAATAATAACTAACATACTATAAGTATTCACTAAATGTGTTGACAAAAAATGTATTCACTAAATTCACAAAAAATGTATTCAGTAAATTTACATTTTAAAACTTGTAAAGCAAATAGTGGTGCTTTTTTTTTTGTCATCTGCAAATAGTGTTGCTTATGTGGATGATTAGGTGAACACTTTATATGGAAAGAGAATTCTCTAAATATATATATTTATATTTAGAACAATGAGCGTTTGAAATGAGAAGTAAAAAAAAAGGTTGATATATAATTAGTTGAAGACGAAGTTGAGACTATTTTTAATGAAATTCGAAAGTTAAGATTTTGTTTTTTGAAATTAAAATAAAAATGTCTATCTAAATTTTTTTAAAAATTTAAAACATATGACGCTATTTTAGAGTCTTTAATTATGAATTAAAAGGGAAGTAAATGTAATCATTATTATAAGGTTTTTAACAGCAAAATCTAATATTTTTTTAAGAAAAATATAATTGTAGAAAGTTAGTTAAATATTAAAGAGAGAGATATACTGTCAAATGTACCTTGTTTTGTTCTTCTACGTCATCATAATGTTTTTTTAATCAACAAAATTTAATATTATGTAATCATACAATATTGTGTATTTATTTTTTGTTACATCTTTTATATTCCAACTTAAATTTATATTAAAATTAAAAATAAATATCACCAAGATCAGCGTCCATATGTATGAAAGAAAACAACACATTATTGTTATATAGGGTACTAATGAAATCAATTAATATAAGTTAAACAAAATCTAGAAGTGTCAAAGACAATAATAACGATTAAAAACACATTAATCTATCAAGATTCTTCTATAACCTCATCTTTAATTACCCCAAAATAATCTTCAACCAAACAATTCCTTTATATAAGAGAGAAAAAACCACTCAGATCAACAAAAAACAACAACTACAGAAAGAATGGGTAGGAAAAAAATAGATCTTAAGAGAATAGAGTGTTCAAAAGAGAGAAGTGACAAATACTCGAAAAGAAAAAACGGGCTTTTAAAGAAGGCACAAGAGATTGAAGTGTTGTGCAACATTGATATTGCCTTAATTATATTTTCTCCGAAGAACAAAGCAAACATATATCATTCTGGGTATAGTATCTCTAACAATTTTATTTTGTAACCAAAAGATGACATATATGCTATAAAATTTAAACTTAAAACAAATAAATTAAACAAAACTATTGTTATCTTTGGTGTTTCTTTTCATTATGTTTTCTCTTTTTCTATTAAACTTGAAAATTTGAAACTATACCCATACAAGAAATGTTATTAATCAGTTTATATTTACACAAACTATATAGGAGTCACATGGTAAATCAACAGTTTTAATAATAAATATGACAAATGATTGATTACATAAGAAAATTAGAATAGTATTTTTTTTCCAAGAACATGCATCATGAAGAATGTGTTATCAAAGCATCATTATTTTGTTGATTATGAGTTAAAATTACCAATATTTACTTAAATATATGCTTCTTACACATTGTAGTTCCTTCGGAAAAATTTTGGAGAAGTTTTGCAAGGTTTCATTACAAGAACGGGAAGATAGGTTTGATCGTTCTAGATTTTATGTTATTTTCTAAACACATTTGCATGGTATAGTTTAGTTTTTTAGAAAACATTTTTTAACTAAAAACTAATATCTGTTATCTTTTGTATTTTATGTATGCATACAGGAGAGCATACACAATAAAGGTTTGTTTTACCTATCACTTTTCATTAATCACTTATAATCCAATTTTCACTTGCCAATATATTTCTCACGATTAGTTGGGATATGTTGGATATTAAATTAAATCATATGCTCAATTCACAGATAACTCAAAAATATTACGAATCATGAATTAAACTAAAAAATTTTGTTTCTAATTTTCTGGTATGCCCTTTGTTAAATGAGAAATTTTGAGAAATGTCCCTTTTTGTGTACCGCATTTTAAAAATACCCCATTTTAAAAAATACTCATTTTCAAATATGAAAAATTATAAACTTTTATATGGTTGAGAAGGTACATCAATATCATCATTACTACTGGGAGACTAAATCCAAATATTTATAAAGTTTGAAAAGTATCTAAACGGCATTTATAAGGTTTTTATAAGGTTTTTAAAAGGTTTACAAAGGTTTTATAAGGTTTTTAATTGCTTTTTAAAAGGTATTTATACAGTTTTTAGGAAATATATATGTAAATTTACACACATATAAAGATAATTTATGTCTATAAATATAATCTTACACATATTTTTTTTGAAAAATTTCAAATTTTATAATGACTTTTTGATAAAATTAGAAAGAGAAGTATTTTTAAAAAGTGGTAATGAAAAAGGGGTATATTTTATTGATGTCACAAAAAAAATATATTTTTATTTACGATAGTATTATTTATTTTAATCTACTTTTATATAGTAAATTTTAAAAATTTATTATTATTGTTACAAACTTATTATATATATAGTGCTGTTGTATATATCATAAATTTTATTAGTCAGTTATTCTGAAAAACTATTAACTGAGTATGTCAATCTAAAGGACGTATACTTGTTTTCATAATTTACTAGTTCATTAATAAAAAATTATCTAAAAATCAGAACATTTAGTTAAAAACAACTGAATTATCATCTTATTTTTTTTGTTTGATTTTTAAAACCTCTAGTTTACTTTTCTCTCTACATGTATAGACGTTGAAGAAAATATTGAGCATGAACAATACAGAAAATTCCACTGAAAATGTTCACATTTTCCATGAAGGGTACAAAATTGTTTTTATTCAAATATTTTTCAAATATATTGTTTAACATTGTTAATCTAATAATATTGTATTTATTGCAGAGGTGAAGTGATCCAGGTATGAAATATCTTTCATAATGAATACAATACCTTTTTATATTGAATTCAATAAAATAAATAAAAGAATATAATATAATTTTTTAATATTGAATACAATAATTTTTATTTAGGATGATAACAAGATTACTAAACTGAGAGAACTCAAAGAATTGATTGTTGAGAAAAAGTTAATTTACAGGTAATAACACTAATGAAGATTATATAAAAAAATTTCCTCTTTAACTTTTACCTTTATTGTTTTGCTAATTTATTAATGCTATAAGGGACTGGAAATATCCGGAAGAAGTTAATGATTTGAACAGGGTCAACATCATGGAAAATTATTTAATATCTTTTCTAAGCCATATTGGAAATATCATAAAGGTTTGTATGTTACCATATAATAAATAAGCTTTGATTCTAAAATAAAACATGAATATAGTTAAAGTTATACAAATTTTATTTCTCGTTTCAGATTAAAACCCAAGAAGAACAGCAAAATCTTATATGATACAAAATGAAAATATTATTTGTAATTAGCACTAGAAAATCATGTTATGTTTAATTTTTTCTTCAACTACTTATTTGTAATATGTTACAAACTATACACTTTTTACTATACTATATATATATATATATAGTACAATGAATTGTTCGGAGTATTGGTTAAGAGTTGCTCAAAATGTATTCTTTTCAGACTCACTCTCATCTCTAAGAATTGCTCACCTCAATGACATAATACGCAACTGATTCACTCCCTTTGGGGTTTTATTTATGAGTTTGTGAGACATAACTTATGACAAGGAGATACCAAGATGTGACATAACTTATGAGTCTGTGAGACATTAGAATAGTTAGTTTTTTGAAGGTAAATAAAGAGAGCAGTTATTTATTAATATTGAGTTTCATTATATTTTAACTAACTAGATTTGGTATCAAAGCCATTGTACGATCATGAAGAAAAAACAATGGGAGATATTTTCGTCTCAACAACAAAACCTAGAGAAGGAGGACCTTCATCGATCATGTGTTCTATGCTAAACACAACCAATTATACTATATGGGCTGTGAGGATGAAAATCACACTCAAAATTCATAAGGTTTGGGAGCTTATCGACATCAAGACAGATCTCATTGATGGTGCAAGAACGAGATGAACAGCATGGCCATCGCTTTATTGTTACAATTAATACCGTAAACACTTATCTTTCAAGTTGGAACGCTTGAGACGGCGAAAAAGGTGTAGGATGCAAACAAAGCAAGTCATGTGGGAGCAGATGGAGTTAAAGAAGTAGTGGAAGATAGTGGAAAGTAGAGATGTAATTTTTGATGAAACAAAGGAGTAACCAATACGGCATTCTACATATGTTTTGAATATGATAGCTATACGAGCACTCAAGTATGTAACCCCGTATGAAGTTAATAAGTCTAAGAAGCCAAGGATTGATCATACTCAGATCAGATTTTTGGGTGTATTGGTTATGGAATAGTGGACAATCCTCATCTAAAAAAACTAGATGATAGGTCAGGAATGCTTGTTGATTTAGGAACATAACCAGGATCCAAAGCTTATCGACTCCTTGATCAACATTCTTGGAAGATAGTGGAAAGTAGAGAAGTAATTTTCGATGAAACAAAGGAGTGGAATTGGAAATCAAACGAAGCAAGAGACTCTACTAGAAATATTGGCATTGATGACAGAAAATAATAATGCAGTTTATGTAACTGCGATGAATGATTAATTTCAGTTTTGATTACTATATATAGTGTTTAATAAACTCTAAGATATAAAATCAATAAGTGAGATGCTAAAATCACTTATTCACATGATGGTACAAAATTTTTAGATTCTGTGGTGAATCGAATGAGAGAGTAAAGAGAACTGAGAGATGGTTATGATAGAGAAGGTATCATATCAAAATTAACTCTTAGCAAATCGTAATCCTCTAAAATTTCAGCATACAAACTCGTGTTTTATTGCATCACACTTGTTTGAGGCTTGAGAAGGAAACCACGAAAATGAAATTAGTAGGAGGTTGGAAAGAGATTTTATAAACCGTAACCAGACTAAAAATATATAAAACGGTTAAAAAACCGTAACCGTTAACTGTACAAGTAAATTGGTTACAATTTAAAATAAAAAAATAACTGTAGCCTTTATTAACCGACACCGTATTAAACCGCCGGGTAACCGCATATTAAATCCTTAAAATGAATTATAATAATAATTGTATACAACGAAAAGACACATCGAACGTTTGGATAAGATTTTCACCTTATTAAAAGCAATACAACAAGTTGAACTCGTAAGTAATCAAAATATTTTATACTAAACTAATTTTAATCTTATATTTCTGTGTATTTGATGTTGAGTATCTCAGTTTTGATCCAATACACAAATTCCAAAAACCTCCAACATACTGTGTAAAAATTTGTATGAACTGCCACTCTTTCATTGGGCTTCTGCAGCCTGCCACAGTCCATTGCAGGAAAGACCCTTTTGCCCTCTTTAGACTGTTGCGAAACCCAAGAGTTCAAAAGTTATGAAACAACATAAAGCTGTTTCTCCTTACACACGACACTGTTCAACTTTCTCTTCCCTCTCCGGCGGATTCAATGTAACCAACCCAATGTCCGATGGACAAACAACTCACCCTTTCTATTTTTTTTTGTAAAACAAGTCCTTCAACCCTCTTCTATTGCTGAACCGATCCCCTACCCTAACCTAATGGCCGATCAGAATATCCCCACTGGCACATCTGGCGAGAACCCAACACGAGACGGCGACCCTTTCTCTGATAACCTAGAAGAAAACCCCACCCGCTCCTCAGCCAACCGATCCAATTATTGAGTCCGGGCAAAGGATAACCCCATTGCCAGACACGGCCGAAGTATCTCCCGTGACCCCAACTCTGGTTCCCTCTCCACCCGACCCCGCCGGAGCATACGCCAACGGAAACTCGCACACCGTTCTCCAACATATGCGCGCGGCTGCCAAAGAGGGCGATAGCGACGCCAGGAAAGGAACCAATGTTGAAGTCAGTGTCGTTCAGGGTTCCCGCGTAGGCGACTTCTCGCCTGATCAGAGGAGGTGGGTTTTACTTATTTTTCTGTAGACTTTAAATACTTTTTCCATTGTCCATCGAATTAATTGTCAAAATATTGTCTATTTTAGGTCATCCTTGCGATCCGCCTCCAATGACAAAAGTCAGGCTCCCGACATCAGCCCCGGTGTTGTCCATCGAGTATCAAAAGAGTAAGTTTGTAACATGGTAGTGGTGGACAAGTTCACTTCTTGTCCACAAAATATCTTTTTGCGGATTTTTTCTAATGTTTGTCTCTCCATCTCAGGATTAGATCGCCTGCTGAAGTTGTCCATGGTTCGAAATCCTTGTCCAATAATGCCAACCGCACTCGCTCTAAGTAAGTTTACTGCTACTATTGAGAAATTCAATAATTTCGTATTTTTATTTGTCCATCATCATCCTGTAGACAATATCTAATTATGTCTACCTCTTTTTTATATAGCAACATTGACAAGAATAGCAGTCAACAACCTATGTTGATCTTGTCCGTCGTTAATCTTCAGTTCTCCTTCTTCAGCACTCTCCTCCACCTCTGTCGATCTTGTCCGTCACAAATCTTGAAATTCTATTTCTCCTCCTTCAGCAACATACACTTCCAGAAAACATCTCTCTCACTTGTCCTCCATTGTTAGCAACTCAAATCTACTTTATTTTCTTAACACCCACTAAATCGACTGTCCTTTGGGTAATAGATACTACGCTCTTCAATTAATGCTCATTGTTCTGCCGAAAAAAGTATCCCATCGGCTCATTTTAAAAACAACCCACGAAAATAAGCTCTCCCTTCCAGAGGATAGTTTGGTCAATTCTCCCCTCACTGTTTCCTTGGATGTGGCACTCCCAATAAGACCTAGAGCAAACTGCCATTTTTAATTGTTTTCCACATAAAAGTGGTATAGAGTATTATAATCCCATTTTTTATTTAAACAACAAACTCACATCTATTTTTTACTTGTAAATTAAATATTATTTCAGATATTAGTTAGAAGTGGGTATTCAAGCTTACAACATATTTTGATGGAAGTATTAATAAGTACAAAGCTCGACTAGTTGCCAAAATTTATGTACAACGTAATGGAGTAGACTTCGAGGAAGTTTTTGCTCAAATAGCTCAGATTGAAACAATACGACACCTCACTAACTTAACTGAAAGACCTCATCTCGGATAATCTAAGTACAGTGAGATTCTTTCCGAACAAATGATAATCTTTTCCAAACTTAAACAAGTTCTAGGGCCCATTCGTTAGACAATTCTTTTTACAATAATTCTGAGATTTATTACTTAGAGTCAATATGCATTCATTAGAGTAAAACAACCATTCACATACTTTATTAATAAGTAAAGATACAAGACAACTTATAAGTTTGTATATAAGCTATTATAAGTTGTATAATCGATCTAACTAACGAGCATCCATCACCATCCATCTTCACCGCCATGAGTGCTCGCGCCTAAGCCCTTTCCTCCCCTCGATCCCCTTCATTTCCTGAAAGCCACATATGCATCAGTAACATATTCACTTAGTTTCCATCATCAATCATGCAATGCTAACTTAGTGACAATAATCACTTTTCATGATCCGACCATTCGGTAGAGAGGTAGTCCGCGCATCAGTTTGGTCGAGTATCATCGAAGAATCTATTCCCTGAGCCGCGTCTCCTTTTCTCTGAACAATCTTTGTGGACCAAGTTATGCATATGATCATGTCCACCATGCAAATATCCAAACCCTTATGCACCCTATCAACCAATCTTTTAGTCTTGGTATTAACCTTTATATCGGATTCTGACTTTTCTGATTATTTCTCTCGAAGATTAACTTCAAGAGTTAATATGTGTTTTTAATCTCCGAATGTGTATGAAACTCAACACGAGACCCACTATCTATAGTGTTTTGGCCAAGACCTTCAGTTCGAAAAGTCACCATGTCGATGCATCATTTGCTCTTACTGATTTGTTGGGATACGTTCACTTGAACTGATTTGATGGCATACATTCGTCTGTATCGTTTCACTGGCATACATTTGTTGTATGGTTTCATCAGCACACGATCGCTCTTCCTCCGTTAACCACCTAGCTAGCTCCTTTGTCGAGTAATTATCGCAACTACCTCGACTACTGAACAGCTGGCCAAGCTTCCCAACAGCTGGTCAAGCTGAGATCACCACCCGGAATAAAACAACGCCTTGTATGTATCAAGCTGAAGGAGATATGAGAGTTTCCCTTAATTGTGGTTGTATATGTCGATGATTGTTTCCTATAGGAACAAGTTAAAATATCAAAGATGCTATGCTCTTAAAATGAGAGAAGGCTTTTAAGTTTTATTAGTTATCATGGGAATTTAACATATTGAAAAGACCCAGCCTGTTTTGTTTTTGGGCAAAAGGAGAAAAACCGCCATCTAATTTTTATTTGGACGTTTAATAACTCGCCACTGGTGTCAATCGACACTCGCGACCATCCTCGCGATACAGAAGATTGGTGTCGATCGACACCGATGCCCTAACATCAATT